AATCAAGTTTGGTCTCATTAATACATAATATGTCTACTTTATTATTACTCATAAATACTCGTAATTCATCTATATGGGCAAATAAACTATTTATATTCAAACATGCCATAGACATGCCCCGATGAAATGGTATTTTTTCGAAATTATATAATGAGATATTTGAGTAATTTGATTCGTTTGACTCACCCAAGGTTATCGACGATTGGTCATCTATACTTGGCTGTATTTCAGTATTAGCTACAGGCTCCCACACGGCGTTGTCCTAATGTTTCCTATTATAAATAAAATCAGTAAAATTGCGTGCCATCTTGATTGTTCCCACTTTATTTAGATGGATTCTGCTTTGGTTTAAATCCTCGGGTGTGATGTTCGTGTGATCGATATATTTCCAATGTTTCTGAATGCAGGTTTGTTTGAGGACTTTATTAACATCGCTGACTTTGCGTGTTAGAAACTCGTCATCAGATCGTGTTATTAAGCTCGAGATTGCCACCTCCGTTTCTGGTATGCATTTTTTTACTGATTCGCCCAATTTAATAATCTCTTCCGCACAGCGCTCCGAGTTTTCACGACTTTTTAGGCAATTTGTGCCGACATGGATGTGGTGTCACCCATCACATTGGAAGGAAAAATAATCTTTCGGGACGTGTGCAAGACTAAAGTACCATGGGACGCTGATATTCAAGAACCGTTAAGCCGTCGCTGGAACGAATGGGAAAAGTCGCTGCCAAACGAAGAAACCATACCACGTCCAATAGTGAAATACCGAGAGCCAGTTTTGAATGTAGAACTCCACACCTTTGGTGATGCCTCGACGAAGGGTGTCGGAGCAGTGGTATACTCCGTAGTGCGACAAAAATCTGGGAATACACAACAATTAGTAACGGCCAAATCTAGATTGGCCAAAGAAGGATTGACAATAAATCTTTGTGGTGGAACGGTCCAGAATGGTTGGACGATCCAGAGAAATGGCCAGACAACCTTGAAACGCAACCATCCACAGCTACTGAAGTTGAAGCCAAAGTGGTTCGAGAGGTTCTTTGTACAACACAAGCCCAGCGAGTAGCTGACGAATTTGATCGATTGTTGGAAAAGCACGACCTTCATCGTACACTACGAGTATGTGCCTGGATCCTGAGATTCACAAGCAACTGCAGAACCAAAGAGAGTCAACGGGGTGCTCTGACAACTCAAGAGATTGAAAACGCTCGTCTGTGGTGGATCAAGCGAGTCCAACGAGAGAGTGACATTGAGAAAGATCGAGAACAACTTAACCTACAAGAAAATGACCAAGAGGTACTTCTGTGTCATGGTCGCATACAAGGCGAAAACCCAGTTTACTTACCGAACACGAGCACATTCACGGAGAAATTAGTACAAGAAGCGCACTCGCGCACTCTCCACGGGGGAGTCGGGTTAACAATGGCACAGATTCGAAAGAGGTATTGGATACCCAAGTTGAGAAGTTTGGCTAAACGACAAGTCAAAACCTGTTGTGGCTGTCGCAGATTTCAAGCAACTGCTGTGGTCAAACCGCCACCTGGAATGTTACCAAAAGAACTCTACGAAGGGAAAGATGGTCTCGTAAGAGCGATAAAGCTACGTGCGGGGAAAAGTGTCATGGAACGACCAGTGCAACATCTTTATCCATTAGAGTTAAGTTGTGACATTGAAAACAGACAGACAACCAAGACGACCACCGAGTTGAATGCAGAGGCCACCGAGTTCAGGCCGAAGAGACGCAGTGGTTGCAGCGAGGCTTCGCAACCAGATGATCGTTGAAGATTGAAACGTTGAAGGAACATTTAATCGTATATAGTTGAGTTGACATTGCAAGTTAAAGAAACAATAGTCATATAGAATCAGTCTACTGTTAGACATATATCTCCTAAAGAGATATATGGGGGGAGTGTGTCGTAGACTGACGTCACGCGACAATAACTTTAGTTAAGAACTGTCAATCAAACAAAATAACAAGTGAGACGGGTAGCGTCTATATATATATATATATATATATATATATATATATATATATATATATATATATATATATATATATATATATATATATATATATATATATATACGAATAGGTTTGTGTATACGAAACGCAAAGAGTGCTCAATATCATAAAGATAGAGCAAATGTAGAATTTCGCTTACCTCAAAATTCCGCAACAGTCTGTTTCATCAGTAAAGAATCATCAGGCGGTATATGATTCTTTACTGATGAAACAGACTGTTGCGGAATTTTGAGGTAAGCGAAATTCTATATATATATATATATATATATATATATATATATATATATATATATATATATATATATATATATATATATATATATATATATATATATATAGCTTCAAATTGAAAATAAATTTTATTAAACTTCAAATAAATAAATACATATTGTAAAGATACGTTTCGCGGCACAGCCCCTTCGTCTGACGAAGGGGCTGTGCCCCAAAACGTATCTTTACAATATGTATTTATTTATTTGAAGTTTAATAAAATTTATTTTCAATTTGAAGCTTTATATAAATGAAGTTTTTTGGGAGGCTAGTGATATTTATATATATATATATATATATATAAATTAATCAACTCAACACATAACGTTACGTTTCGACTTTATTGTCTTCATCAAATATAATCTTACTTTACAGGCGAACCCAATTTATACCCTCCCAATTTTGCTAATTATGCATAATATGAATATAAGTGATTTACCATAGAAATAACAATATCCTGTTAACTATAATTAACATTGCTACGCATTCTCTATGTTCAATCCCGAAGGATGCATTGTCTTTAGTTTACTTATCCAAAATGCCTCACGTCTGGTCGGTTCCGCTGGGTCAGTTTTATCAATTAAAATAATCTCGCAATCACTAATCAATCCATTATGTCCATTACCCAAGAAATGTTGATGGAAAAACATTTGTGTATAGGCCTCGTTATTAACTGCTTTTTTGTGGCAGGCTTTATAATTATTCCAACGGTACCTAAATTTATCTGTTGTTTCGCCAACATATTGTTTTTTACAGACTTTACAAGTAAGAAGATAAACCACACATTTCGAGTCGCAATTCAACCTATGGTTCACTTTGTACTGTTTACCATCTGTTGAACACTCAAAGCTGTCGGTTTCTCGAATGTTATTGCACGTTAAACATCGTGCTTTCTTACATTTCTTACACCCCTTTTCCCTCACTAACGGCGGTACTTTAGCCCTAACTAAATAACTTTTTAAGTTGCGGCCAGTTTTAAATGCCACAAATGGTCCGGGCGAAAACACTTTCTGACCTTCTGGATCTAAGTATAACAGATTTGTCGCTACACTGTGTTTCACGCTTCTTTCAAAGCGATCTTCAGGCGAATGAAGTTGATTCAATGACGTGCTCTAAACTAACGGTTTGCTGACGCATCTCGCGCGCTAAAACTATTTCTATGACAGCATTTCGCGAATATTTCTGAGCGTTTATTCAATATCCTGCTTTTGTCAGCTTCCAGTAAGCAAACCTTCTCTTCAAGGCACAGATTGCATCTTGCTGCACCAGCCGTATACGCACGGGCACGCTTTAGTATGCTCCACTTGATGTTGTATTGCTTCCCGCTTTTCTTGAGTTTCCACGCATACTTTGATAACTCTGTTTCCGCTGAATACCGAAGAACAGTTAGTGATTTTTTATGGTTGGCATGCCTCTTCTTGAACGTCCCCGCCGTCATTCCAATGTACTCCTTCGTTTCTTCGCCGTCACTTGTCGAGATTTCTGCTTTGTATACAACACTTGTTGATAAACATTTATTGTCAAGCGGACATTTGTCTTTATCATGACAGTTACACATTTCTTTACATTCTGGCTGGTTGCTTTTTTCAAGCAGGTGTTGATTGCGGTTGGAGATAACGCTCTTGATGTTGCTCATGCACGAGTAGCTCACTTTTACGCTGTTTCTATTGAAGATCTTGTG